AAGATTTTTACTGAATGGAATGATTTAGTGTGGTCTGGGAAAGCTTAACTCTTACAGTCTTGGTAAATATTTTCTGGGTATCCAATAAACCACAGTCCTCGTATTTAGCACTAATAAATCAGTATTAAGGCTTTATCCTGTCCATGTAGTTACCAATGAGCCAAACAAAGAGAAGTGTTGGTATGGATTTTCCATTCTCACTGTATTTCTGGGAAAGTTAGCAAATCTTTTGGAGTAACATCTGAGCAGGAAGGAGATTAGGCCATGATTATTTGATATGGGTTGATATGTGACAACCATAGGTTATCCAGATTGCATGAACTCCTGACCAGTAGATTTCTTGGGGAAGATTTTTTCAAAGGCACAAAAAGAGTTTTGGAGTTTTGGAAACTTCCCCAGAAAAAATTCAAAGTTGGTCCCTAAGTAATAACTGGTGGTTTTCAAAACCTTACTCCTCCAGAGCAGCACATTCATCTAAATTCCTCAACACTGGTGAAGTCCTGGTGAGTTCAAAGCAGCTCTGGCAAGTCTTTTGCTTCAATTCACAAGAACAAGCTACCCATACCCCCAGAAACTCAGTGATTTCCTTGGCAAGACCCTCTGCAGTCCCCAGGATGCTCTGAGCTATGCAAGCACGAACTCCTGTTGAAAATTAAGATGAATTAAGATGAAGTTTTTTGTGTCCTAGCCATCTTTCAGGATCTGCTCTATTAAATCAGAAACACAATGATGCTCAATGCTTTGTAGGACCATATATTTTCCCAGTAGTGTCTTATCTGCAGCAAGATAATAGCTAAGCTTGACCTTTTCTGAGGACACTTTTATTTGTGCAGTGTTAACTGACCTTTTTCATTACTTCTAAGAAGTAATCTCACAAGTTCATAAGGAAAGCTCTGTGAAAAAAAATTTGTCAGATGTGATTCTTTGTACTTTTGAGTACAAATACTTCCTTAACAGTAACATTTGTGAGCTACCGTTGCATAAATAAATTTCTTTTGCAGCCTGAATAGTTACCACCCAGGAGAGGGTGCCCAACCTCCTTTTCTGCTCTCTCAATAGTTATAAGAAATGGCCATGTGTACAAATTGCAACTCCAGTTTTTAAAACTTCAGACACAGTAGCAGCATCGGTGATAAATTAATTAAACTTGGCAGCAAGTTTACTTCTGGCTGCACTGTTTCATGTCCTCATGCAGATCTACAGCCACTTAGTAATTGTCATTAACTCATCTTTTCTCACCACTTCAGGTAATGGTAAACAGATTTTTTCCTCCTTTGTAGTATTGTGTTCCATGTTTCATTTTCCCACTGTGCTTTCCAATGGGCTTTTCATGTCCAACACCCTTGTCATAGGACTTCATTTTTAGAAAATTTATGGTTTTATTTTAAATGTCTGCACTGGTATGTTGCACCAAAAGCTCAGGAGCCAGTCAGCATTTACTGCTTTTCAGTGCTGGTCTGGACTTTCATGTATACAACAGCTCCCCACATTTGTTCCTGTTACTTTCAAAGAATTTCTCTCACTGTGGTTGCTAATTTATCATGCAGTGTAGCTGTGAAGAAAACAGACTAGCTGCAAGATAGCTCTAATTTACAAGTCTACCTGGTTGTATGTTTCATAAAGCTGCTTCTGTAGCTTAACACACACTTGCTCATAGTCTTTGGTCACATCTGCAACATCACCAACCTTCCAGAGAGGAAGCAAAGTGATTAAGCAGGCAATCTGTAGATTATTAGAATATTAACAGCATTGAAAAGTCTTTGGCCCATTACATCTGACATTGGCTATTTTCAGGCATGAAGATGAAATGCCTGATTTCTTTTCTTTTTCATAAATTGGCTTTCCTCAAACTTGTTTTTCTGTCCGTGATAACATATGCTGTGAAAGTATTGGCTCAGAGTTTGTCTTTTATACATATCCAGCTATGATGAGTCATAAATACACCTTGTTTGGCTACAGGTGGAGTTACTAATGAGGTAACTGACTACTGAGTGGGCACAAGAGGTGTAAAGTCTAACCGGAAATGATCATCCTCAGTCAATTCTAATAACAACCACACATCATGTTACGTATGGATCAAAGCATATCCCTCACTGCTGTTGCTTTCATTCTTCTAAAAGAATTTCTCTAGTTGAAAGTTTCCATGCTTCATTTCAGTCTGATTTTGGTTGATTTAACTAACTGATTTGTGTGGATTTGGCTGTTGTTCTTATTGAGTTTCTATTTCATATGACTATTACAGATAGGCTTTGTGGAAATACATTGTGCCACTTGGGGATGACCCTCCAAAAGGTCCCTGTGCTCAGCAAGGCTTCTATGGTCATGCAGGAGCAGAACCACTTGCTCACTGAACTGAATATCCGGGGAGTGGGTAGCAAAGGTATCAGCAGCAAGGAAACTGGCTGCTCAAAACTGATGTGAGAAGGAGACATTTTCCATTGGTTGGTGTCAGCTGACAAAGAGAAGTTGGTGCCAGTTTCCTCCTGTGAAATAACAATTCTCAAATGACACATAGCACCCCATTAAAACGGATGTGACAACACTACAGTGAGCATGTATACTTACAAGCCTATCCTTTGAGGAAATAAAGAATAAGCAAAGGTCAAGAAGCATGGCAATGACAATTTGACAAAGATGAGAAAGTACTGAGGACTGGGAAAACCACAAGCAAGTGGCATGGTCAGTGCCGGAACAGAGTCCAGCTGTGGGACAGATGTGTCACATGCTGCCACTCCTGGAGCCCCGTGGTGGCTGTGCCAACTGTCTGCAGTTTCCTTCCAAATCACTGGGAGAGATTTCACTCTGACCCTGTAAATTAACATCAGCCACTCTCAGAGGGCTAGATCTGATCATCTGGCCAGCATTGGAATGGGAAAGCAAAGCTTTGGAACAAAGCAGTGGTAAGGTTTCAGTTTGCATGCCATCTCCTGGAGCTGCTAGCATGAACAAAACATATGTGCATGAATAGGCTGCACAAAATTTGGCAGTTTTGAAAGTTGCTTTCAATCTGAATCAGCTCACAGATTGAGGAGCTGCTTGGACAGCCCTGCTGGTAAGAGGAACATGTAAACTACAATTTGCTGGTATCTCCAGTTATATCACCAGGATATATAGGAAGACAGAGTCATGGAGGCTATCCTCCACAGCTCTTCAGTTCAGTCAATAGAAGAAAGATGGGAAGCTTGAAGCAGTGACAGAGTTCTAGGGATTCAGTGCCCCCTGGCATCCTGTCCTAATCATAGAGAAGCCTCTTCCTCTTGCTACTTGGCTGTGTCATTTGCTTTTGAGCCAAAGTAATCAGAGAACAAGTCCTGACACGAACTGGAGGAAACTGAAGGCTTTGGGAAAACTCCAAGCTTTATTCCATGAATATTCATTTAATACAGAAGTACAATTTACCACAGGGTATAGAATACTGAATCTAATGACACAAAGTTGAGAAGAAGCGTCAATATGCCAGGGGGTAGGAAGACTGTTCAGAGGGATCTGGACAGACTAGATCACTTGTCTAAGTCCAATGGGATGAAGTTCAACAAGACCAAGTGTCAGGTTCTATATTTTGGCCACAATAACCCTAGACAATGCTACAGGATTGGAGCAGAATGTCTGGAAGACTGTGGAAGATATAGACCTGGGAGTGTTGGTCAGTGGTCAGCTAAACACGAGCCAGCAGTGTGCCTGCATGGCCAAGGCCAGTGGCATCCTGGCTTGTATCAGAAGTAGTGTTGGCAGCAGGAGCAGGGAAATGATCATCCCCCTCTACTCAGCACTGTTGAGGCCACACCTCAAAACTGCGTTCAGTTTTGACACCCTCACTACAAGAAAGACATCAAGGCCCTGGAACATGTCCAGAGAAGGGCAACGAAGCTGCTGAGCGGTCTGGAGCCCAAGTCTCATGAGGATTGACTGAGGGAACTGGGGATGTGGGAATCAGTTTATTCTCCTGGGTAACTACTGATAGGACTAGAAAGAATGGCCTCAAGTTGCACTAGGGGAGGTTCAGGTTGGATATTAGGAAAAAAATTATTCTCCCAAAGTGATGCATTGGAATGGGCTATAAAGGAAGGTAGTGGAGTCACCGTCCCTGGAAGCATTGAAGTAACATTTAGATGTTGTACTAAGGGACATGATTTAGTGAGGAAGTATCAGTGATACATGGACTGTTGAACTAGATGATCTTGGAGATTTATGATTCTATGACTCTGTGATTCTATGATTCAATAATTCTGAGTTGATCCTTTTCAAACATAGTCTATTCCACATTTTCAAGTCACAATATCTGATTACTGCAGTGAGTTTATTCATAAAGCTCTGGAAATCCTGACTGAAAATATACTTATTTTCTAAGCATCCTGCAGTGTGTGTGCTGGACAATTTCTACCAAGAGCTTCCACTTTTCTTCCGTTTTCTTCACCTACCACATGCATTAGAAAATCTGGCTATTTCTGTAGATATTCTGTGTACTTTATCAATGAGTCACATAAATTTTCACAGTTCAAGGTCCAGCCAATGTGATAAACTAGTTAATTCAAGGAATTTTACATAATAAATATTTTTAATTCTTGAATTCTTAACAAGAAAAGATCATACTTATTTTGTGGCAATTTATCTTTTCTCCTCTTTATTTCTGGGTATCCCTCAGAAGCATTCCATTAGGTACTAGACAAACTGATTTTGTGAAAGGATAGCTTCTTTCTTTATATTTATTCATACTTCAACAATTAAGTAAAAGCAGACTGTATGTCTGTTTCCTTATTAAATCTGTATCAGATCAGATAGCATGGACTACTTATTATCACAAGCTCAGTAAGGAATGGAAGCCATCAAATCATAGTGTTTTTCATTTATATTTTCAGCCAACCTAATGAAGTTTAAAAAAATGTAGTGAAAAATTTATGAAGTGTATATTTGGAAAGGCTTAAGCTACACAAAACAAGGTAAAGAACCCCAAGCATCCTCTGCCTGCAAAGCAAAATGCATTAACTGACAAGACTACTCACATCAAAAGGCCGTCCAAGAACAGATGCCGCACTGACTTTCTACCACAATCCTTGGCAATGCTGCTCTCTTCTCTTCAGTTGCAATGGCTACTAGTTAGTTACAGAACTAACTCCCTGCATGTTTACTGTATTATGTCACTTCCTGCAACTAACAAACGTACAAAAAAAAATTTACAGAAGGATCAGCCCAGATATGACAAAGTACATGAAAAGTTTTCATAAATGCTTATTACATAACAAAATATTTCTCACAGTATTATCAACCTCAGCATCTTCCATTAGTCATATGGAGCACAATATCTTTTAATACCTCTATTGTCATCAGCCAGACTACTGCGCTATATATATGTAACTATGTATTGAATATTTTTCAACAGTAACACAAGAGACATTGGTATCCAGCTGAAAAATACTGTACCACTGATTTTTTTATGCAATTAGAAAAAAATGTAGTGATTTGAATGTATTTGTACCTTAAATGCAACTTCTGTGGAAGGATTTCTAGACAGCTACAGAGGCCCTTTTAACAACTTACATTCCAGATCATTTAAATAAGGATAGGACCCTTTTTGAGTTTGTTTATTTATATGTTTGTTTTGAGAATGTTCTATATTTTTTTTCTGTTCCCCTTCAGCTGTTGTCAGCAAAAAGAAAAATCCTTCCTAAATAATGTAGCTGTCAAATTGTATTATGAACTGTGGTGCAAGTTGAAAAGAACGTCTGACTGTTTATCTTCAGGTTACAAATGGTGAATATACTTTTTCAAAGCAATCTTCTTTAAAAGATTTAACTGCACTCCTTGGTTGTAAAACACTATGAGCATAACATTATTTTTATATTTTTTTATTTATTTAAACAGCATTTTGGCTTTTCTGCTTACAGTTCTACTGCATCCTTCAGTTCTGAGATAAGCAAATAAAGATAAACTTTGCTAAGAGAGTCAGTTTGAGCAAACCTCCAAAAGAACTGAATGCCGAGTTTGGGACAAACTCAAATACATTTTTTATGTCAGCAAGTTCCACTATCTGACATTTGAAAAGTGTTTCAGAAAGAGAACGAGCATTTCAGTGAATGGTAGTGAATAGTTAACTGTGAGGAAAGGCGCTATCTGCTTCAGTATTTCTGGACCATTAGTTTTGACTTTATTTTTTCTTCCTGAAAGTATGTATGCTTTTTATTAGCTTCCTGAAAGCGTGCAGTGTGTTTGCAAGTTCTCTGAACTGACCAACTCGCCTCATGTGACTTATACAGTTTTCTATGGTTATAATCTTTTTTATATATTAAAAATGTAATAAATACAAAGTCAAAAAGGTCTATGATTTTTCTAGTGCTAGTGAGGTCTCATGTGACCAACCTGCTAGGTAGTGCATGAAACACTAAGAAATAAATGTTCCACGAGACAGGAACTTCACGTGGTAAATGGAGCAAAGCGTGTTTTAATGCTTTCTCTGAAAAGTTCTGCATTGTTTTCCCAAGAGTAAATGAATATTTTATTATTTTTGGTTGATACACTGAAAATCATGAATACACTAGTACCAGTTGTGAACACAATGGCATATGAAGCTAATGGACAAAAAAACAGGCAAACTACATGTGTGGGGAGAGAAAAGGGCTTATAGCCTTTTTCTGTTTAATGTCAAATACCCAAGTTTCCAGCATATTTTGAAATGTGTGTGTAAAACACATTAGTTTTCAGTTTTTGTGGCACACTTTTTATATTTTAATAAATATAAAAATAAACAAAAGAAGGTTTATTACTTACACATATTCATTATATTATGTGTTTTATATGCAGCCCAAGATAATTCCTCTTCACTTTGCAGCTCAGACAAGCCAAAAGTTTGAACATCCTTATTTTAAAAGGTTGACTATTCTGTTTCATTTACACATCAAGGCTACCTCCATTAGTCCAGCAATATTTTCCTCACAAGAAAACCTCATATTATTCCACATTGCTTTCCCAGTTATTGCTTAATAATATTTGTGCAAATCTATACCTGCTGAAGTTTGACATGTATTTCTCCACATAGTGCCTTAGCTAAAGCAGTAACAAATGATAATCTGGAGCAAACACATCTTCACATTAGAAATCAGCGGTCCAATCAAGAAAAGGTATGAACTTCAGAAAGATCTCATTGTGTTTTATGATGTGAAAATAATAAGCATACCTCTTTTGATGTCTGACTTTTCAAGAAGCAGCATGCATTTCAGAAATTCTGTGTCTATAAACCATGCCATTTTAGAGCTGTTTTGACAGTAAGGTCAACATCACTATTGTACAGGTAAGAACCTGCCAACACAGACACTGGGAATTACAAGGACATCAGACACTGGGATAATTTGACTAAGGAATGTTAATGTCTTTTGGAAAACTCCAACAGAAATGCCACCTGATAGGAAAAGTGATTCAAGTGTTGTGAAACAGATGTCAAAATTGGCAGGAGTCTGCTTCAGTCAGCTTCAGTCTGCTTCAGAAGATAGGTCAGAAGAACAACTGGGAGCTGATATATTTTTAAGGAGTGGAAAGCACAGTTTTGTGGATATCTTCTAGTCTGATGTGGAGTAATTCCAGCTTTCTCGTCCTTGGTTTCCCAGGTGCTGGAGGAAATGATAGAAAACACTGCATTATAGGAATATATAGAAGATTAGTTAATGAAGAAGTAAATAATAATCCATAATCTTAAAGATACTAAATTATCTGACAGATCTAACACTTGTGACAGGCCAATTAACCAGAGAGTATAATTTTCATTACATTTCTGCCCTAGGAACATTCACACACTATCACTAATGCTGAAAATGATCCATATTCTATGGAAAAAAACTTTATGTTATGAAATGTATAGCAACTTATTAATTTTATGTAGGACCTCCCTGAAAGTACTGTAATTTTGATAAGGAGAAAATAATCAGTTGTGAGAGTTATCCTTGGAGAGGCATTTTGTTTTGTCTTTTGTTTGTTTGTTTGTTTAAATGTTTGAGAAATTAGACAACTTTGAAAAACTTTAAAGTGAAATTTCCCTACCTCCCAAAGAACATCGCTGTGCTTGTTCCCAGATAAGAGTGTGTCCAGAGTTAAAAACTGTGACGTAGGATGAGCACAAATTCAGAAAAGTGGTTTTAGAAAAAAATAACTAGACAGACAAACATAAACATCTCCTTTTGTCAGAGCAAATTATTTTAGTATATCATCACACAATTTTATAGACATTGTTCTTTTTTCGTCTGCAAGCATACTTCACCATGGCATACAAAATACACAGCTGACTTACAGTACAGCAAAATTCACTGCTATGTGAAAAATGTTCTTTGAGGTTTGTGCCTGTTAGCATGCATCAACCTTGTTCAAGATAAGAACTGATGATTTTTAACTAGTAATTGCCAGCTTCTAGATTGGTTTTGTGCACCGTTATGACGCTTCCACCTTCTGCATAGAAGCTTGCCTAGCTTCTATGCCAGTTGCATCCATTTAGATTAATGAGCTAATATGCAAAAGGGAAGAGTCTGATACAACATCCATGGCAAAAGGTATCTTTTTGATAAGGAAAATAAGCTGAAATTAATTCCTTCACTCCTTGTTTCTGTCATCTCATATGAATATCAGGGGCAAGTTCCTGGTTCACAAAATTTATCTCTCGAAAATATTAAACAAAACCACACTCTGATAAGCAGAGACAGTGCATTTTACAAAGGAGTTTTAGAACGGATAAAATATTTAAGAAACCCAACTTAAACTATTCTCTCTGACACGTGGTAAGTTCCTGCTCTTTGTGTACAGAATCAGCCTACAAGAGAGATAATAAAAAGGGCTGAATGTAGGTGTAAATTACTATACGTCTTGTGCCATAATTCTAAGTGATAAGAAGGGATGGGAATTGTGCCTTGTTGGAACATCCTTTTACTGGTTCTATCGAGCTGCCTGTCAGGCGGTGTATAAACTTTCAGTCTATTTGCTAGTAGTTTGTTATCAAAAGTTTTAAGTAATTGAAATAATTTGATTTTTATAACATCTAACACATTGAAAATACATGTAGTATACACATGATTTAGTAGCAAAGTTCAGATAGAACCTTGATCAAACAGCTGCCCAAATATGTCCCCCCTGCATTTCCCACACTAACCCATGAGCTTCAAAAGCCTTGTGGCAAGCACAACATCTCAAAATTTTGTCTACCTTGAATGATGGTTTTACCATAACTTTACAAATTTTCATGCCTGGTTTTATGGCAGGAGTTACCTGAGGCTGAGCAGGATGGAAAGCTCCAGGAATTAGAGCTACAAGGTCTCCTGGTTGCCCCAGTGCCTTTCAGTCGTGCTGTTTACTGCTATGTAATGCCCAACAGACAGGCAGGACTTTTACAGTGGGATGTAAATAGGAAAGACCTTGAAACACTGCTTCAAGTTTTGTGGTTTTTTATTAGATTACCTTTGACATTGGTATCATGTTTCAGCTACAGCCCAGGCTGTAAATTCTGGCTGCTACAAAGTCAGGATGAGTGAGCTCTTATTTGTGTGTGTCCTTGCATACCCTTGCATACTGATAATTCACCAACGGGCTTATTTTTTCCTGACAGCGTTTTCATGGGTGCAGCCTTACTGATTCACCACTGTGGCATTGTTACTACTAAGGTAGAAATGCATTTGGTTTCAGACACTTTCTTTAAAATAAATAATTCAACATACACGAGAGCATATGAAAGATGAAAAGTGAATTTTTAAAAAAATGCAATAGACACTCTTCTACAGTTTACAACATACAAAAGGAGTTACAAAATGCCTGACTGAAAGTATGTCCTGTTGCAGGGTTTTCCTGGCCTACTCCTTTACAGTTTCATTCTGTCTTGAGAGAGATCAGCAGCTTATTTCATACACTGTAACATCAAGATCTGAACAAATGCAACTCATGTTAATAAGTTCTTCTGCTCAGTGGGAAAGATCTTTGACTTTAAGATTGTATGGGAACTTCTGAATCATGGCCTGAACCTCTGATTGATCACCTGAGGTGAGCAGTGAATCAGCCATGGGAGCACAGGTGAAGCCAATTCACCTGTGTTGCCGGAAGGGATGGAGCCTGGTTCCATCTCTCCTAGACCCCATTTAAAAGCTGACTAGGAGGGGGGAAGGATTTCTTCTGGAGATCCCTACTTTGGAGTTTTATGGTGAGCCCAGGACAAGGGTAAGCACTATGTCTGTTCTCTTTTTCACGTAATAATCTGCTTAGCCATCCATGGTCTCTGGTATACTTCATAATTATGGCATCTGTATATTCGTTGCTTGTACAAACATGTATAGCATTGCAGAGATGCTGGATTCTCTCTTGTGGTCAGCTGCCATTCCCAATTAAAAAATTCTTTCAAACCTTTAACCCTCACATTTGCACCTTGAGAAGTGAAATTTACTGGATTTTTTACTAGTTTTGTTTGTTTGTTTCTTCCTTGAATAGGTCTTTGTAGACTTTAAAGCTATTGTTCTTAGAATCCTTGTGATTTCTTTAGTGTCTGGTATCCAACTTGCTTCTATGAGGAACATGAGCATTTTAGTTTCTTTGTATTATCACAGCGTTTCTGTAGATCAGAAAAGGTGTATTTCATAATTATTTTTGCAGAAATAGGTAACAATAATTCAAATTAAAAAAAAATACACTTATTTTCTTTAATAAATCTGGGGAAAATGATCACTCATATTTGTGATAAGAGCTGAAAAAGTAAACAAAATCTAACTTTGTAGATGATCTCATCTTTATTTGTTTTCTGAGAAATAGAGTAGAAATCTAAAGATTCTTAGCAAAGCTTTTACTGTTATAAGCCCATGAGAGTGACACAATACAGTGACATAATAATAGATCTAACGTAAAGCAGGTTTTGTGTTGAAATATCAGTTTAATTCCCCACACTCACTTTTCTGAATGAAGTTTGAAACACCCATCCACTTTGGTGACTTATTTGCTTTTAATGAGACCTCAGTCTTCTGAGTACTTCAGTGTGGTTTCATACAGGGGATGCCTCTGTTTTCATGTTATGTCTCCTCTCCTCTGTATTTAAAACTTCAAAAACTAAGTTAAGGAAGATGCTTTGAGCATTTGTTTTGTAATATTTTATTTATGGAAGACTCTTGAAGTATAGCAGTTTGAAGAGTATAAAAACAATCCAGATCTCTTGAGAGTATTATTTTTTTAAAACCATATATATTTTTTTTTTGTAATTTTCATTTTGTAGCTATTTAAAAATTAAATTGATCTCAAAGCAGTTTTAGATACACTTTGAAAACCCTTCTGACTGCAACACTCAGTGTCAGGTGTTCTTCCTACTGAAATCCATGGGAATAGATTTCTTCCTCACAGAAGTAACAACCACCAGTAAATAACTTCAGCTTTATTCAACACCACAGGAATGTTGATGCTACCATAAAGCCAGTACTTTAGAAATACTTCATGATATCTCCCTTCTGTAATCCATTTATATGGAATTCTAAATGGTATGATATCTAAAAGATATGTTATAACATATCCTTTCTACCACAACTGTGATGCATACAAGAAATAAAGCAAAGGAAAGCAGATGTCTCTCCCTGACCTTCTACTGCATTTTAGATATCTGCAAATAAGATGCCTAGCTCATACTGCTGACAATGTGGACTGCTATGTGATAGTTATTCAGATTACAGAAATCTAGTCAGATCACCTAGATATCAGAAAGCAGAAATTTATAATATTGGCTGGATTTCTGTTGTCTGTAAAGGGAATTCTGATACATAGTTGCTCTCCAAGTATTGACACTGTCATGTATAAGATGGTACTTAGCTGTCTCTCATTTTCAGTGGAGACTGTAGAAAAGCTACACTGAGTCCAATAATTTTCCAAAGAGAATTTTAATCTTCCACTAACAAGGAGAATTTGCTAACCACAAGTTGTCTAATCCATCCTGTAAAACCACTTCATGCTGTGTACAGAACTCAGCACTGACTGAACCAAAAGCTGGACTCAAAGGACTCCACCAACTAATGGGCATCCCACTAGCAAGGCTTAATCTCCTCTCTCCTGCTGCAAGGGACCTCAGATCCAGACCTACATTCAGCAGGGTATGAATTTGAATGCTATGTATTCCATGGTGCTTAGACTTCAGAGTTAGCAGCAGAGAAGGGCTTCTCTCTTTCTCTCTCTCTTATTGCGTTTGAGTGAATCTTGGCTTTGTCATACCCCATGGCATCTTCCTTCCCTTTGGGGAAGGAAGAATTTTTCCCTCTTGGATTCTGGTGAAAGTTGTCATCAGCTCACGCTGGTATCTGGGTCTGGAAGAGAGACATTAATATCTTTTTTGATTAAAAAGTAAATAAACCTCTCATTAGCTCTCAAGGGAAATAACTGGATTCTGAGTTCAGATTCATTTTTACCAATTTCATAGGTAGGGGAACATTGCAGAATGTGGCTGTTCTACAGTATTACAATATGAAGGAGAAGTTTGAAGAGTAAAGTGAATGATAAATGTTCAGATTGTGTCTTTCTGTTGAATATAGAGTAGCATCCAACATAAAGTTTTTCAAAAATCCCCATACAGTGGCACTGTCTGAAAGATCCCCTTTTGACTGTTATTGGGTGCATATAGTAAGAATTTACTTGTAACTCATTAGAAGCTTTTTTGAATGAAATAAAAAAGGGAAACAGTGTACATTGACTTAAAGGATATCTAGTAATGAGTAATGCCACTGGGATCCTCTAATGATTTCCATAAGTATCATTTCATCAGAAGAATACAACTAGGTCCTAGTGAATAACAAATTCTTACAAGAACAATAAGGAAGAAAAATATATATTTTTTCCTTTTTTAGTTGATCTAAATGAATTTGTATCAATAAATAAGAATAAAATTTGAGTAAAAATACTATTAAATTACTCTTCTTTGAACTTATTTTTGATGCAACTGATGCCAGAGTTATTTTTAGAAAATCTATTTTACCAGCATTATGTAAGGCATCTAAAGATCCATGAAAACAATTAGGATATAATTCAGGATCTTCAAATAGATTTTTGCCATGTAGCCTAGATCACATAGCAGCCTTTTATAATGATAAAAGAAGAATTAAAAAATACATGTCACTAATTATACCTATTTTTCAGTGTTCCTACCCTTTCTCTCATAATACAGGCATGGAAGGGAAGATAAATGTATTTTGAAGGTTGGCACTTCATAGTCTAATCTCTTTTAGTAGGCTGTTGCTCAGTAGAAAAATCCAGTTGTTCCCCAAATCCTTAACAGTTATTCAGGTATGTTCTCATGCATATCTTGAAAATACTAAGTCCTCTTTAAAATGAAATATCCATTTCACCTTCTTCATACCCATCTTAATTTAGTCCAACCACAAGTTCATTAGAGTTCTTGTCATCTGTTTTGGAAATAGTACAACAGAAGGAAACTTTTGTGAAAGGCTAAGCATGACTGTGCAGTGATGCATACAAAAATGCAGACTTATGTAACTTGCTTAATATTGCAAACACAGAGCTAGAAGTTCAACATTGCATGAAACCTGTATGGGCAGTCCAGATCTGGAGCTTAAATCAACAGGACAAAAACAGGATCGCTATCTCACTAGCATCCTGAGTCACCTGAGCAATCCCCAGTCTATGCAAAGGGTTTCTTTCCCTCCTGTGATTGTAAATTACTGCTGATCCATGTAAGATTACACTGGAAAAAAGAACTTCTTCCTGAACTCCGCCCACCTCTCAGCTAAAGATCTGGATTATTAATTTACAGGAGAAGTATGATATTTAAAAGAGGTGGCTACTTAGCAGATGCCTATATTGTCCTTTAAAGCACTGGAGCTTGGATGGATCTACTTTAGGATGTGACTTTCTTGGATCTTCCTTTCACCACAAGCTGTATGTATGTCAGGCAGATATAATGCTTTGAACCACCTCTCGGCCCTGCCAGTCAGTTTTGTTCCTTGGAATCCAGTATTAATCAACACAAACACAGAAATCTGAAATGCATAAACAGCAGATTGGCAGAAATCCTACTGCTGTGGTCTGATCTGCCAAAATATTTTCACTCACAAGAAAAAAATGCCAAGTACATGTTAATTGTCTGCCATGGAAAAATCCAGCTACCTCAGGGGAAAACAATACTGTGATCACAATGCAACTTTCTTAGCAGAAGCAACAACTCTTCCAAGCCAGGTGATTTAAACCAGGTTTACAATCAGGGTCATTCCTTCTGCTCACCTATAGTACTTTGAGCACCGCAGTAGTTTCTACAAACAGGGCTTTGTTTGCTTAGGTTTGTGTTCAGAAAACACTGTGAGATCTTGCCAGTGAACAAGCCATTTGAAGCCATACAC